AACCCCCAAACCCCTAAACCCGAAGATCTGTCCTGGCCAGGGGAGCCTTCGGTCCGGGCTCTGAAGCGAGGCGTGAGAGGCCCTCATCTGCAGAGGCGGAGATGGCCAAGGGGGTTAGTTAAATAGGGGTTGAGGATTTAAGGGGTTCAGTGTTAGAGGGTTTAGGGTTTTAGGGTTTGGGGTTAAAGGGTCTAGGGTTAAAGAGTTTAGGGTCAAAGGGTTTAGGGTTAAAGGGTTTAGGGTTAAAGGGTTGTAGGGATTTTAGGATTTTAGGGTTCCAGGGCTTTAGGGATTTGGGGTTGAGGGTTTTTGGGTTTAGGGGTTACGGTTGAGGGGTTATGGGGATTGGTGAGATAGGGGTATAAGGGCTCCCTTTTAGGGGTTATGGGGGTTAGTTTTATGGGCGCATAAGGGGTCGGGCCATATAGTTATAGGGTTTAAGGGTGAGGGTCAAATCAGACACCGCCGTTATTAGCGCGTAGGAGCCAGCGTCAGGCCAAGTTAAAATTGTCCAGACATGAACAGAATACCAGTAAACGATATGCCCCCCAGAAACAACGCCCCAAGATATGTGACTTATAGGGATCCCATCCAACAGCAAGGACGCGGGGCATCCAGGCAGACATTGTGAAACGAAAGAATTGAACACCCCAATGTGCCCAAGCCCCGTAAAACGGTTGGCCACTCCAACAAAGGGATACGCCTGATTTTTAGTTGTTTATAAGCAATTCACGTGGCTGGTCATATGGGGGCTTCTTGGGGCCAGGTGATAGGGCAACGAGGCTGAAAGTTTAGGTTTTGGGGTTTGGATTTAGGGTTTAGCGGTTTGGATTTAGGGTTAGGACCTCAACATAAAATGGACAAGCGCAAATGAAATGAAATTTCAAAACTGGGTGAACGTAGTGGTTCATAGAGATTATACTGTAGACTTTGGTAGGTTGTCCAAATTATGATCCCTCTTTGATTTCCAAATTATCCTATGGCCCTAAGTTGCAGGGTACCCTGGAAAGGAGGCA